TCAAAGACGTGCCGGCACACGGCCTCCTCCGAGCACCTGCTCGTGTCCATCGTGGATGCCAGGAACTCCGTGTAGTCGATGGCAGAAGAACAAACCAACGGCAGAGCACAAACCTTCGGAATCCCAGCGGATCTCTTGGAGAGGCGCCGGGCCCAGTCAACCTGCGCGCGGAGCTCGCGGCGCTGAGGCCCCGCGCCGACCCAAGAAGCCCGCGGGGAGCCCCGAGACCGTATGCTCACGCCGCTCTTTCTTCCTCGAGGATGGTAAGATGCTCGTTCTGGGGACCTTCCTGGAGCCACTCGCTCCACTCGTGCTTCGAAGCTACGTCGAGCGACTGTCTATTGGAATCGAACCTGAATCGAACCTCAATCGAACTCGAGTCGAACCTACCGAACTACCCACGGACAGATCCGTTAGGTGGGCCCCAGGAGGGTCCCCCAAACTAGCATCTGGGCCGATTTTCACCACCACCGCTGCCATAGGTAGGACGGGGAAGAGGGGAGGATGGGGACCTCCACCTCCTCCTCCTTCTCCTCCTCATCCTTCTTCTTCCTCCTTCTTCTCCTCCGCCTCCTCCTCCTTCTTCTCCTCGTCCTTCTTCCTCCTCCTCCTCTTCCTCCCTCCTCCCTCCCCTGCCCATGGTAGTGGTTGGAAATCGGCCCACCAAAGATGGTGCCGTTGCCATTGACGTCCACGCCGCCCCAGATCTTCGCCAGTTCCTGCTCCGAGAGGCCTCGGTCGCCCTGCGCCAGGCCCTCCCGCAGCTTGGCTGGCGTCAGCCGCCCGTCCCCGTCGGCGTCTAGCGCCAGGAATGCGCTGCGCATGGGGCGGACCTCCAGAGGAAGCGAACAGCAACGGGGAAGGCCATGCCCGTTCTATCGGCGGCGAACGAGAGGGGAAAGTGAGGAAGACAAGGCTCTCTCAGAGGGCGGCGGGGCTTCTCAGAAGTCCTCGCGCCTTCTGGAAAGTCTTCGGTGTCTTCGGGGAAGGCTTAGAACACGTGTCAGAAGGCTGGGGGTTTTCCGAGCCTTCTGCGAAGGCCTACCCCGTCTCACTTCCCGCACTTCCCCTCTGGGCCCGCCGATTCTAGCTCAAGCTAGCCTGAAGAGACGACATGGTCGCCGGAAGCTCACCCAGCGCGTCTGAAAGAACGAGGTACAGCCGGACCAAGGACATAAGAACATCCTTCAAACTGAAGAATACTCGAGAGTACTTTCCCCAAGGACGCACAAGAGCATCCAACAGACACAAAAAAACACCAGGGTACCCTCCCCGAACCGATCTGGATGTTATACCTCTTGGCGGCGAGCCCGGGGAGAAATGAGGAGAAGGCCTTCACGGAAGGCTTGGAAGCCCCCTGGCCTCCCGAGAAGTTTTCTGAGGCTTCCCCGAAGGCCCAGAAAGTTTCCCAGAAAGCTGGGGGGCTTCTGAGAGGTCCAGCCGCCTTCTGAGAAGGCCTTCTCCTTCTCACTTCCCTTCCTCGCTCGCCGCCGAACCTCGGTCCGACGGATTCTTCTAGATTTCATTCGGGAATCCTTTGGATTTCCAAATGAATCCGATGGATTTCCGAAGGAATCCGATGGATGTCCTAAGAAATCCGGAGGAGATCCATCGGATTCCGAAGGAACTGCACAGGATCCCGAATGGAATCTGTACGATTCCTTCGGATATCCAGAGGATCCCTTAGGAAATCCATCGGATTCCTTAGGATATCCATCGGATTTCTTCGGAAATCCATAGGAACCCTCAGGACATCCATGGGATTCCTTGGGATATCCATAGGAATCCTTCGGAAATCAACATGAATCCTTAGGAACCCACGCTACTCAACATAAGAAGAAAGCAACTTCGATTCGCAATTTTCCCACCGATTATCAAAGTCGCCCTTGCCGCCTCCCCCACCAAATCGGCATTGGCCGCGGATAATAATTTCTCAATCGTGAAGGGGGGTCTGATTTCATATCCGGGGACGGGGGTTCTCCCAATCACTGGCTCCAGAACAGCAGTCGTTGCACTGTGCGGCACAACGCGCAAACATTCTCGGACCTCCGCGCGGATGCTTTCCCACGTCGGCGCTGCGTCCCCCCCCCCCCCTGGAGGCGCCTCCGGCGCGGCCGCTGGCGCGCTCCGCGCGCCAGGGAGGGGGCCCCCAACGCCGATCCCAGAGATCCGCGCGGAGCTCCAGGAGCTTCTGCCCGTGCCGTTGAGGGGCAACGATAGGTGGAGACTGGCAAAAAGGGGGGGAACGCATCGACCTGGAATCGGCGATGCATCGCCGATTGATCGGCGATATGCCTCCGAGAAGGAATCCGACCCTTCCTGCGCAGGTTGGGGCTATCGGGCCCGCTCTCGGCGATCAGTGGGCGATTGGGGGCCGAGGCACTCCCCCCTAATGCCTGCCCTCCCCCTATCGTTGCCCCTGAGCCGTCCTTTCCTCCTGGATGCCTCGGCGTCTTCCAGGAGCCCGGCGGCCACGTGGAGGGCCGCCTTCGAGAGCGCGTCCCGCGAGCTGAACCGGCGCAGGCTCTCCACGAGGCCGCCGGGGATGGCGGCCCTCTCCGCCTCCGCGCCGTGCCCCAGCCAGGCGTCGCCGAGGGCCTGCGCCGCCGTGAGCCGCGCCCGCGGGTCCACGGACAGCAGGCGCGCCACGAGCGCCGTGGCGCCCGAGGACACGCGCGCCCAGTGCCTCGGGGCGAAGTCGAAGCGCCCGCGCTTCACCTGAGAGGCAGAGTCATCGGGGTCGGCCAAGAGGGGGGCGTCCAAGAGGGGGGGCGCAAGTCATGGCCGGCGGCACGTGCGCGGCCCGGGGGGGAAACAACGCCGTGCTGAAATCAGATGCGGCGCCAAGAAATCTGGGGAGATGACCTGGCCCCCTGCCATGATATCCACCCCCCCTGGTCATCACCCCCCTCTTTGCCGCCCCCGAAATCAGGGGGGAGGCCAGCTCAGGTGGGGAAACATCGATCTGGGGGGGATCGGCGATTGGGGGTCGATACCCCCCCCCCTCCCTCGGCCGATCCATCCCTTAACAGTGCCCCCTCGTCACCTTCCTGAGCACGCTCTTGTCGGACCTGCCCATGAAGGGCGGGCGGCCACATAGGAGCAAAAAGGCGATGATGCGGGCAAGATTAGAATCCGTATCCACACGACCTGGATGTGTTGGGAAGGGCGACCTAAAACCCGAGACGCAGTGGATATGGATAACATCAGGTCTCGCTGGATGCCAAGCTTGTACCCGTATCCGCTGCGTCTTGGGCTTCCAGCGAGCCCAGGAATCCGATGCCAGGGTGGAGGTGTGTATAAATCCTGCCCGCAGATGACGCCAATGCTCCAATTGTCGCACTGCTTGTCGTAGCCCCTGCCCGACAGCACCTCCGGCGCCACGTAGAGCGCGGTCCCCACCTTCGTCGCGAGCACCTGCCCCTCGGCGCAAGGGTGCGCGAGGCCGAAATCGATGATTTTCACAGTATTGCCGGGCACAGGGGCATCATTCGCGAAGAGTACGTTCTCGGGTTTAAGAGGGGGGGACTTGTTGTTGAAGCGGTACCCGATCTCGGAGTTCCGCCTCGACATCTCCCCGTCGGTCAGCTCAAGGCTGCAGGCAGGGAGTCGTACATGGCGCGGTCCAGGAGGATCGTGTGATAGTCCGTATCCGCTTCAGTACTCGCATCTCCGTCACATGGTGTGTTCATGATGCTCTTTGTCTGTCTACTGTCAAGCCCCTGGCGCCGATGAGAGCACCCTGGTCGACGACATGATATGTTGAGAGAGAAGTTCTTCTTCATTGAGAAAAATATGTGTCGAGAACTCGATCTCCAGTTCTGCTGATTGGTCTCCTCAATCCAATTCGCATGTGCTGTATGCCTGTACGTTGAGAGTTGCTGCCAATCTCTCAATGTCATATCTCCTAAGACGTTGGGTCGCCCTGGACACGTCTTTGATGCGTGATGCCAAGATATCGTAACGTCGTCCTCCTTGTCTTGAGTCCGTGCCAGGTTGATCGTGAGCCTGCATCTCGCACACAATAAGGTCGTAGAACTCGCTGAATTGAATGGGGTCAAGAATAGATGCATATCCGTATCCATCCGAGCTTCGATATTGTGGAACAATCTCTTCTCTTCCTTTCGCTTGTGAAAATTTGGCAGTCGTGCAAGGAGTTGTCGATCTGCGTCGGAGAAAGAATCTGCGTGAGTCGTTCGTAGTGTATTGTGAAATAGACGTGTCCTGTTCTGAGTCCGTGCTGTTCTCATAGCCGAAGATCCGTCTTGTGCTGGAGGATGTTGCTTGCCTCGTAATCGTCGGTGTCGGTCCCTCCGTAGGTCTCCTTTCCACACCGGCGTCACTTGACTTGCAGGAAACATAATCTGTGCCCATGGAGTGATTGTCGGCTTCTTGATCTGCTCCACGGCTATGTTGAAAAAGAAAGAATTCACAGCGTCTGGCTGAAGTAGTCGAAGGCGTCCGTGAAATCCTGTCGATATTTTTAGGCCAAGTGGATACAGCTGGCGGCATTCCTTGACTAACTGGAATACACTCTGGCTGACTCTCTCACCCTTGTGATATGACTTTTGCTTGCCAAGACCGAACCTCGATAGTAGGTTGGAGCTGGCTGCTGTGAACATTTTGGCCGCTGTCCCGATTGATGGAGTTGACGACTGAGTTCGCCATCCCATGTGTTCACCCGTCGCGAGAGTGAAGTCAACAACTGCCATGATTGAGCTCGTTTGGTCGATCGCCATGGTTGATTGATCTGGTATCTCTGGCGGCTCTGTGTCTATGTATGTAGATGACCAATACCAAAATAATGCAGGCACGTTAGATAGTTTCCACTGCCAATCGTTCTTCGTGAATGTCACTTCTGATATTGTTCGGCCTCTCAACCGGGGTGTACGCTCCACTGTGGGACGTGGCTCCCATATCACGTGAGGAAAGACCTCCTCCTTCGTGGCTGTCATGGTCGGGGCTCTTGCTGGTGTCGAGGTTGTCGATGGGGTCGTCTGCTGTGTCGAGGCTGACGGTGGACTGGTCGAGGACGTTGCTGGCGTTGTTGTGCTTGCCGCTCGAGTCTTTCTTGTCAGTCTGCGTGGAGTTGCTAATACCGTTTGTACTGGCTGTGGGGTGGGAGGAGCTGGCGGTTCGGGATCACCTTCTGCGTCATCCATTCCACCTCCCCACGGATCTTCTTCCTGAATGTCCCAGGCATGTTGTTCTTCTTGGTCTTGATGATTGAGCTGCTCGTGGACCTCTTGGTAGTACCTGTTGAGTTGTTCTCCACGTGGCTTGTGCCCGAAGAGAACTAGTGCCTCTGCTGCTCGTGCTTGTATGACATCGAGAAGCATAGCTTGTACGTCTTGCTCTCTTTTGATCCGTGCTTTGTGAGCATCGAGAAACTCGCCGTCGATAGCTCTGAGTCTTGCTGCCGTGGTGGCTCGCTTGTCGGCCTCCTCGTTCTTGAGTCGAAGGCGCTTGTCTGCTTCAGATTCAGCTTCTTTTTGCTCCTTGGTTTGATGGCTTTGAATCTTCCGTGTCCTGAAGTTGTCGTGACCTTTGGCCTCAATCGCTGCCTGCAATCGGGTCCATAGATCTCTGTGGGACTTGAAGTTCGTCTTCTGCTGGTTGATGATCTTGAGCAGCCCACGGCATACGTAGCTCGAGTCGGTCAGGTAGATGCTCCGCGTCCAGTTCCACAGAGCCCACCTCAAGGCGCTCCGAAGTTCTGCACGTTGGGCGTTGTGTATTACTCCTTCCAGCCCAAGTGTACTGTTGTGGCTATGTCGATCTCCATAAAAGAGACCGCAGCCCGCGCGCCTGAGTCTGAAATCTGCCTGGCCTGGGACTGCGCCGTCACCGGCTACGATGGCGTATCCCTCACTGTCTACTGAGAGCTCATCTTGACTATCAAGGTCTGGTGGTCGAGCTTCGTGTAGTTCATGTGATTGTGGTGTGGCTATCTCCGCAAAGAAACCGTCGACGCGAGGATCGTCGAGGACCAGACCTGCAATCTTCGTGGCTTCAGGGAGTGCGTCGAAGTCGTAGTTTGGATACTTCTCATATAGCCACTGCCTGTTCTTGTCAAAGTGGGTACACTTCCATAAAGCATGAAGCGGAGTTTCTTCTTCTTTCCAGCAAAAGGGGCATAGATTCGATGAACAGTATCCTGCAGCGTGCAAGCGAGATGATGTGATCAAGCCTCCACTCCATAAAATACGTGCCGCTGCTCTCCTCTTTGCTGACCATTTGTATTGAGTGATCTCAGTCGCACCGTTGAAGTCGCTCGATGCTCCTTGTCTTCGACGACGCTGCCGTCGATATTGAGATACTGTGGCCTCGTAGTCGATAGATTTCTCCAGCACTCCATTGAATTCATATCGAAAATGATGACCTGTCTTCGTTTTAACGTAGTACCCAGCTCGCCATACGTGTCTACGCAGATCCTGTCGTACGATGTGTCTCCATAGTAGATCATCCCCTGCGAATAAAGATATGAAGCCACCTGAAGATCTCTCAATATTCACCTGTCCATCAATCTTCCACTTGAGATCAGAACATATTTGAAGAAGAACCGAAGCAGGGCCATGTGATATGGCTTGTTGATCGCCTCGTTCGTGGTACTGCTGGAGTACTTCGATCAAGCGCTGCTTCAGCCTCACCCTTTTCTGCATCAACCTGCGGATGGTGATAAGTGCCCAGTAGCGACTGGCCTGCCATGGATCTAAAAGATGCCCGTGACATGCCAAAGTAAATGTTGAGACTCGGGAACGATACATCACCTTGCCGTTCATCAAGATGCGGTGTAGTTTTGCTCCGAGGTGCTGGCATGTTGTGCTATTGGGTAGCTGCAGTTCTGATCCGTAAAATCCAGCTGAGCTCCCATATACTGTCATACATTTTTCTCGCCATTCAAAGGAACCTGGGCCTCGCTCCACACGTTCGAGGATGTGATGTAGTTTTGCATGGCGTTTTTGTAGTAGTCGTTGTCGTTCAGCTTGCGATCCTGTCGTACCGTCGCATAGGATACCTCCCACTAGGATGATGGCCTTTGTGAATGTGGCTCCCTGATTGCTGAAAATGACATTGAGTTTCTTGCGCAAGGATATAGAATTTGCCAATATCTTCGTCTTCTTAGCGTTCAGAGAGCAACCTGCCAATTCTCCGAACTCTTTTGAAACCTCCCAGGCCGTAGTGATAGAGCGGACCACGTCATTGATGTCCGCCGATGTCTTCAGAATGCTGCTGTCGTCGATGAAGCCCTGGGTGTCGCACGATGATTTTGCCATCACGGACTTTGTCCAGACTGCCATCAAAGATAATGCAACTGCTATGCTATAAGAAGGGCCCTCGAAGTAGCCGGCCTTTCTTTGTGTACTCTCTTTTTCGACACTTCTTCCGAGTTTGAATCTGTATCGTGCTTCGTGAACCAATCTACGTTCTGCATTGAAGTAGTTGTGTGCCTCGTCCGTGGTCTCCTCGTGGTCCATGTGCTCGGTGATCAGCTTGTTACCGATGTTGCGGTGAATCGTGGAGAAGAACTTTGACCAGTCAATCGATAGGCACGCTCCGTACGTACCCATTAGTTGTGCAGATTCCATCTCCAAGGCGTGGAACACAGATACCTCCTGGGCCTCGTGCGTGGGTCTAGCCCCGCGCATAGCCTCGGGCATCCAGCTCTCTCTCCAAGGTGTGGTATCTATCCATCTCACATGCTGCCATGCAGCGATCAATGGCGAAAAGTTTGATATAATCCTGGTCTGTGATGCCGCAGGTAGTACAAGGTACTCAGGATTGTCATCATCTGCTTCTGGGGGAGTCTGCTTCCTCAATGCGCTGCAGTATACCTGGGTCAGGATACTTGGCCAAGCAGCTCCGTTCCTTCTGTATGTGAACATCTCTGTGTAGAGTGCCGTGATGCGAAGAGGTAACGCTTGCAGCTCGCACACACGGAATCCACATCCCGCTGTAGCTCTTGCAACATTCAAATGCCTTAGGGCTGAGTGGAATGCTCGAGGACATAGTGTGCCAATCTTGCAAGGCCGTTTGTCAATGTAAGAGCCGAAGTTATTGAAGAACTTATGCCAGTCTCTGTCCTCGGCATCGTCGAATATAGGCTGCCAAACTTTGCGGAGCTCGTGGAGTACGTCTTCAGGTATGACGGCATACTCTTTGTCTCCGCACTTGACTGCTGATTCTCTGGCATTCTCCCCTGGGCGTAGATCTAAGGCAAGTGCTGTGATCGGCTCATCTCGAGGAGGTCTCATATGATTCTTTAGGGTTCGTCGATCTGTAGCTGTGGCCGACCCTGTCATTGCCGCTGACATTTTGGCCCTCCATATTTTGATTCGTGTTCTGACTGCCACATCCTCATATTTCGTGATCTGTGCTTGGATCCGAGGAATGAGAGCTTCAACTTCTGATAATGTGATCCA